ATATTTATATTTAATATAATGAACCTCTTCTGTGTGTCTTACATATCCTCCAATGTCATGCCTGGACATTCACAAAAGAGAAAAACAACAGTGCTCTAAACATCTAGAAAAGTAGTTTGCCAGATAGAAAATGTTAAAGTTGCTTTATTTTGTTAAGACCCCAAATCAATGTTAGAGAAAAGTAATACAGACCATGGATAACTTAATTGGTTTAGGTGAAGAAAATTCCCCTCCATAGTCTTGGCACGTTTAGAAGAAAATTTTGCCTAAGATTATAAAATATTCACATTACAATCATGCAACATTTCTCAAAGTTAAAAATCTCCCAAGTCTCCAGATAGAGTCCTATACTTGCAGCATTTGTAAGCTTAGATTAGAGAACATACTGGACAAAATGTAATGTAATTAAAATCAGTGTAATAACTGACAAAGCTTTCTGTATGTATATGAGAATTTCCCCCAAAACTTTAATTTGAATAACAACCAACCTGACACTGATACTTTCAAACTTAGCTAAACATAATATTTTTAAAAATTAAATATAGTCCCCCTTCAACTCTTTAAGGAAAAAAAAAAAAAAGTGAAAGCTGTTTTACTCTGGTTGGTTCAACACAAACAAGGAAGACAAAATGTGTGGAAGATGTAATAGGGTACAAATTGTTTCCTCAATGGCTATTTTTTTTCTAGTAGAAATGGGTCGTTTCACTGATAATGGGTACTTAGTGGCTTGATCTATTTTACAAGTCAACAAACAGAACACCCAATTCATTCTTCACATGTTACCAGACAGGGTGATAATTTACTTTGGGCTGAATAGCTCTATGTTTACCATGAGAAAGGACCGCTGTTTTGTCTTTAAAGAACTACTAGCCTCCTAGATAAGATTCAGAGAACAAAAAGCTCATACAGACTTGGCAGTATAACTGACAAGAATAGTTTACTCCTTGAATGTTAAGTTTTCTTACAGCACTTCCAATAAATCTTTCCAAATGTCCTGTGAAACAGAAGGGGGTGGGGAGGAAGCCTTACTCCAGCTAATAACAGGGCAAATAGCTGCAGTGGGTTCTTGATTAATAACAGGAGATCTGTGCACCTGAGATCCCAGTTAGATCAGGATTGGTCGCAGGATTAAATTTCTTTTGAAATGCACATTAAAGTGTTTATGCGGACTGCATGCTGGATCTGGGAGGTGGGAAGATGGCTAATTGTGCATAAAGCCTGCTAATGCCAAGTTAAACCATTATTGAACAAATGTGAACTACTAGATCGAATTTTTATAGACTTGATAAGACATGTGTCACCACATCTGTGCATCGAGCCACAGCCTAAACACCAGACATTCGCTAGTCTGAACAATAGTTCCCATTTTTTTCCGACAATAAGTTCTTTCTAGCCCATTGTGTCCCAGATTACTGTACTCTCGGTTCACAAAGTGCACGGCTTTCCAGGTTACTAAGGATCTTACCTCAGTGAAATGATTAAGGATACAGAAATTATGAATGAAAAGGGATAGATAATATGGATTTGAATACAACTCCAGAACCACACCACAAGGTAAAAACAAGATAGCAAAAAGACATGCAAGTGTATCTGCATATCTTTTGTATTTAAATTGGTTTCCTTTTTATCCTGCCAAAAAATTTTATTATCATAACATATATAATTTTCTTAAATGAACAACAACAACAAAAATCGGTAATACTTCTCATTTAAAGACTATTTCTTACACCAAAGTCAGAGGTGACAACTGGCATTCTAAGCTCAGAGTGCAGGCATGGTCTGTCATGTTTTACAGGCTATTTTCTTTTTTTTTTTTTTTGAACACTACTGGCTATCATGCCAGCTGTCCTAAAAAGGACCTAGCAAAATGAGGAACTCCAAATGCTGGGAAGGGCTATGAGACAAAATCAAGGACTTTTCAGGGAAACTTTGCGTTTCCCTACTAAATTCAGGTGAGCTTCCAATCTGGGAGCCTCATGGGGAGGAGTTCTTTCTGTAACATGGTTTTGCTGCAAACACTGCACAGGGAACTCACTGTCCAGAACAGGGCCTTAAAGCTAGACCTCTCCCCTTCTTCTTATCAGATTATATGTCATAATTATCAGGTTATAGAATATTTGTCTCAATATTTAGTTATTGATACAAATAGAAGTACCTCCTGCGTGACAAATGGCCGGACCCAAGCAAGATATGAAAATGGGACTCACCACTGTACATAGAAAAAGAACAGTTCTTACATTTAATTGCCACTTTTTCAGTGGGAATCATATTTAAATATATTTGGGACATTTCTGTCAAACGACTAAAGCAATTCACTATAATCATCTTGACTGACTGAAATATTTACTGAAAAAGACCTTTAATTGTCATGAAAGCCATGCTTTAAGTGCAGACTACAATATTACACTTAGTAGCTCCCCAAGGTAGTGTTTGCCCAGCTGTTTGTTTTGAATTAAATTGGATAAGAGTTTTTCCACGTCCTCCACTGTTACTCATCACTTGTTGGAGCTGGATTCAGAAAAGCCTCATTTTGAAGGAGTTGCACGTCTCCTACGGACACTGTCCGTACTGTAGAGGCCGATAAATGTTTGACCCAGCTCCAAGACTAAGTGATTTGCCAAAATAGCAGCTTAAGCTAGAGGTTATTCCAATGTAAATTCAATGTGACAAATGCTAAAGAGATTCTGGAACAACAAAAAGCCATATGTTGGCAAAACAAAATCAGAAAGGCAGATGCTCTCCTCAGTCCTTACCACAAAAATCTGATTGTCAGTTTAAAACTAAGGCCACTCTGGAAAGCAGCAGTGATAGGAGCAAAAGGCTGTGTTGCTACTTATGCAATATCTGAATTGGAAGCTGAGGATGGAAGCTAAACAGAGCACCAAATCTGGCAGTTAGAGGGCAGGGCGAGCTCATTTCCAGCACTGATGAGTGTACTCCTTTCCCTCTAACCTAATCCCGTTGTTCTCAGCAGCTCAGGAAATCAGTCCTCTCTCTTCCAAACTACTCCCATGCTCCAGAACAAGTAAAATGCTTGAAAATTAATATTATTATTGCCACTTTTTCCTTATGTGACTAGATTGGCAAGCAAATTCTTGTACTTACTGTGGCCATTATTTTTAAGGTCAGAATTACTAAGACGTAGATTTGCATTCACTGTTCATTCCAAAAAGCTATGTATATGTTGCAGTCCTTGGGGAACATGAAGTCTAAGGGTAGAAGCACCCTTCCGCTTCAATAATGCAGGATCAAATGCCATGCAATTAATTTACCAGTGCACTCCATCCAACACCACCTCTTCACTTACTGTTATCTCTTACACTGATAAGATAAAATTACTAACTCACAAATGAGGTCAAGTGAATCAGATTCCTCCTTTTCTTTTCCTGCTTGCTAGTCCTGAAAAAAGGGAAAATCTCATCTTGTAGGTAGGAGTCTAGTGTCATTTTGGATGCCTTAAGATGTGCCATCTGGCTTCCAGCTGCCTTTGGTGGGTGCAGGCTCTATGTAGGTTCTGATCACACATTCAGTCCCATACATGTCTTGGATATTCTTAGGTGTGAAGAATGACGCTAGGTGCCTCTATGTAGACAACTAACTCCCACCCTAACTGCTCAGAGAGAGCTGTCAGACTCCAGACTACACCAAGTGACAGAAGAATTTTACAACAGGACTAAGATTAAAAATATTTATATATAGTTTGATTCCTGAAATAACATAAATAACATACTAATAACAGCACAAAACACCTGGATGGCATATGCAGTATACTACTGAATTATCTATGTAACATACTAGACTGCTCGGGTTTGGAGAGCCCACAATGTTTTTCTTCTGCTTTGTTCAAGACTCAAATAAATGTGAACCTCAGTGTGAGCATTTCCCAGAAACAACCAAAGCAAAAAAAAATAGATTAATTGTGATTTAAACTCACTCGAGCCTAGGCAGCCTCAGAAATTTCTGCTATGCCTGTTACACAGCAAGGACAGTGTGAGAGGGGGATTACCAAATGGAGAGCTCTAACCAGGCCAATGATGGTAAGATCACTGAAGCCACTCTGAGAAGGACTTATTTTCTATGGTGGGTCAGACAACACCACACTATGACAAATTGAAAAGACTGGGACTCATCTTTCTTGACAGTAATTAAAAGTTAGAAAAAGAGTTGGAGTCCTCAGATGCCCATGAAATTCCACATTTCACTCTTGCTTCTGGTTACTCAGATTTTGCATAAATAGGAATGATGTAAGGGAGAGAAAGATTTTCATGCCATTGAGGACAAAACTTAATCCAGCCCTACAACAGAATTTTAGGTAATCATCATGTGGACAGACCTATAAAATCAGTTATATTTCCCACAGATAAAAAGTTCCAATAAGCTAGTTGTGGGTTTCTACAGATAATTAAAGAGAATTTAATATTCAAACTACTGCCCAAAATATTGTTCTGATAAAGCAATATGGCAATAGAAGGTGCATAGCTGAAATGCATGTATTTCTTTTAAATTAGATGCTTATACCAGAGCAGAGGTTGTGTATGAATGGACACGGGAACCAGCAAGGTCAGTGGTTGTGGCTGAAGACGGCTCTCGGTTGAACCAATATGATCTGCTTGGACAAACTGTGGACTCTGGAATTGTTCAGTCCAGTACAGGTCTGTGAAAAAGGTTTTTTGGGAAGGGTCATATTTAACTGCCAAAACATAATTTAGAGCAGGAGAAAAAATACAAAGACCAAAGAGTGAGAGAGGTAAATTGCAATATACGAGCTTCAGATTAGGAAAACATGACTCTGAAATGCTAACAGATCTTGGGATTATTTTCCTACTTCAGCTGGTGGTTAAAATATTTGAACAATTAAAAAGCTTCCTATAGTGACAGACCTAGCCAGAAAAACCAATAATTTACATTATAAAGCAGCACTCCTCATACGCTTATCGTATTATCTGCTTACTATGTAAGCTTAAAAAAATAGTATAAGAATATGAATCCTCAAAGATCATATTCCTGGAGGCAGTGAAGTAAGTTGCTAAAAGCAAGCATATAGTTTCTCAAGGGAGTATTTAGAGAGTGAAAAAAATATGTCGTCAAATTAAAAACCATCTGGAACATCCAAACAGGATTTCGGTGTCAATGCTAGCTCCAAACTAAACTCCGAAACTATTAATGCGATACAGAAATATAGCTGACATTTATAGTATTATATACCTGTAACGTTGAAGCTGGCTAAAACCCTTTTCTTTTTCACTTTGCAGTGTTTGTTTCAAGATGTAATGTCTTTTTTTTTTTAATAATTTGGAAGGGGCACAAAGACCTAAATACTGTAATAAACTGAGCATCGGGCATGAACAAGAGCTCAAAGTGTTGACTAGATTGACTGCTCAATGGACCAAAAGAAGCACTGCATTAGGAGAAGTATTTGTATTGCTTTGAATGCACCTGACACTGTGACTGAACTAGAGAAGTACACTTATACCTGCATAAACCAAACATTCTAATGCGTCATTCATAAAATCAATGAACACGTAAGGAAAAGTGAGTCAATTTAAGGTGAACCCTAATTCATGTCTGACTTTTTTATTTAGCTTGCCAAAATGTATTCATATGCTCTATTAAGCAAAACAAAATTTCTCACAGACAAAAGTTTCTAGTGGACCAATATTTAGGTTACTACTTGGAAGCTTCTGTTCAGTTGATGTACTCATAAAAGAAGTAAGTGGGATGGCAGTAGTACCTTGCATAAGAGCAAGATCGATACAACTGCTCCCATAGATTCACTGCTTCCATTATTGAGCCCAGAGGCATGCATCGGACAAGCAAAAAGAAAAGGGGAGAATTCTTGGGCTGGCCACAGCTCGAAGTGTTGCCATTGACTTTTGTGGAGCCAGGAATTCACCCCAGCTGCCCTTTGCTGAAAAGTCAGTGGGATTTGGGAGGAACTGCAAGGATCTCAAGCTCTTTACTCTTTGTGTTCTGAAGCTACTCACTCAGAGAGACCTCGGCAAGCTGTGTGCCTGCCCTTTTGCACTCATTGCCTATTCTCTGCTTGCTGGATGCATTAAAAGGGTGGCAGGATAATCAGAAGAGACTCATAAGCTTGGGAACATATCTAAATCAAATAGGTAATACCAGATATAATTCAGAGTAATTAGATAGAAGTGTGAGAAGCACCCTATAAATTGTTAAAAAAGGCAGATAATAAATTTTTAAAAAGAACTGGAGACAAACATAAGAAGTGTAAAAATTCTTTATCATTTCCATGAAGGAACAAAAAAATATTTGTTTTGCCCATGGTATTTCATTGGTTTGCATTCTGCCTCCTTTTTCTACCTGAAGAAGCTCTTTACTGTGCCTATCTATAAAGTTAAATACTGTACAATTAATATTTGCTGAAATAAAGATGCTATTGTCTACATGCAGAAAAATATTATAAAGAAATAAATACAATGGTTATCAAAGCTAAAAATAAGCCCATTAAAGAATTTTTTTAGTACCAAACTCTCAATCCTCTTTAGTTAGTACTTGATAAGAATATACAGTGGTGGAAGAAACACATTTATTGCTTGCAAATTCAGTGTTTTGAGGAAAAATTCGTCTTGGTTTACTTTGGAAAGAAAAATGCTTTGCCTTCCCCAAAACAATGGTGGGGATCAGGATCAGAAATGGTTAATAATCAGTTTTCTCCCCATTCAGGTAGGTGGGCAGCTAGTCTCAACAGAATCCTGCAGCACATCTTTGTCCTCTGATCATCTCTGGTTTAAGATATGACATATATAATGAAAATTATGTAATCCCTCCCTATTTTCAGAGTTGTGGATGATGACTCATCTGACAAAAAGACAAATGGAATTGAAGACAATCTTCGCTTAAGTGTTCTCAGCACCTTTACTAGGCAAGAAAATGAAGCTCTCGTGCAGCTGATTCTGTGGATCATTAGAGGAATCTACATAATCTTGGGCAATTTTAAAATGATATTTATAGTTGTCTGGAATTCCAGACATGTATTTTCCAAGAATTTGGTGTAACTGGGTTACTCTAAACATTCTCAAAACTATTAAATGATTTGATGAATCCATAAAGTCTTTTTTTTTTTTTTTTTTTTTCCCGTTCCTTTGCTAGTAGGCCATCTGCTATGCTTATTTCTGGATATAGAACAAGATAACTACAAATACTGATCTTTTGTGACAAGAGAATCTTGAAAGACTAAAACTTTTTTATAGCATAGTTACTCATCTATGCTGGCAATGGAATGTGCAGGTACTACAGGCTTAAAAATAGTATTCAGTAAACAAAATAATAATTATTGTTGCTGCTGTTTTACTTAGGAGAATCATCCATTTTTTACTTGTATGTAAAATTCCTGTCACTCTCCAACTACTGACTCAGAAAGAGTTTAAAATTATCTTTTTTTAAGCACCTTAAGAGATGCTTAAAGGGCTCATGCAAGTTTCTATTTACATAGAGTTATTTTGCCACCTTGAAAACATTGCTTTGCACTCAGAATCATCAAGATTTGTACTCACTTTTCTGATGTTCTGTAAATCTCCTGAGAGGATGCTGTTCTTAAGAGTTTTTCTGTTGTGTTACATGGCATAAGTAGTAAATGAGAAATACTTCGTTTTAAATTAATGGCAAGGAAAGCCTTACTTCCTACCTACAGTGATAGAGAAGGTATTATTATAGCTAAAACTCAGTCCCCACCTCAAACCTTACATCTGACGTGATGCACGTTAATTTTAGGTGCTCACCTGGTAAACTGGGTTTATTACAGATAGTTTACAGAACACTGACTAAGTAGGTTTGATGTAACTTTAGTGAATTACCAACTATTTTCTTCTAGGGACACAGGTTAGTTTACACCACCTAAGCATTTGACTCAATGATTGTGATATACTGTAGAATTAAGGGCTGGTTAAAAACTGCAGCTGCAGAAGTGTTGAGCACAGGCACAAACTCTTCCAGAGCACTGGAAGTATTCAAATGTGGACAATCATTCTAAACATTAAGTTAATATAGATGAGAGAGTTGTGTTTTAAATGTTTCATATTGTGTAATACATATAAACTAATTCAAAGTTCATGGAATAAATAAAATGAAAAACAAATTTATCTGCTCAACACAGTTATTTGTAGAAGACTTTAGGAATTCCAAGGAAGCTAAAAAGAAATTACACGCTTACACCATTTTAAGGGTGGGTGTCAGGAGAATGGGGCCAGACTCTTTTCAGTGGTGCCCAATGACCAGATAAGGCACAAACTGAAACACAGGAAGTTCCATATGAATATGAGGAAAAAATTCTTTATTTTGAGGGTGACGGAGCACTGGAACAAGCTGCCCAGAGAGGTTGCAGAGTCTCCTTCTCTGGAGATATTCAAAACCCACCTGGATGCAATCCTGTGCAACCTGCTCTAGGTAAACCTGCTTTAGCAGAAGGGTTGGACTAGATGATCTCCAGAAGTCCCTTCCAACCCCAGCCATTCTGTGATTCTGTGAAATACCTTTCTTTCTTACTTCTTTGGATAAGAGAATAAAATATAAGAGAATGTAAGATGCATAAGCTTCAACTTGTGCTACAACTTGTGAAAGCCTAGTAATCAGATGCTATGAATATAGGAAATATTTTGCTTAATAGCTATTTGAAATCTTAGCTTGTAGGGAATTTTATGGCTGAACTATAAACCTTTGAAAACAGAATTACAGAGGAATTGCTGAGAAGTTAGTGGTCAGCAGCTGTCATGAATGTGGCTATGCTTTTCAATTAAAGCAAGCCACAAAATGTGGGAAGCTAAAGGTTCAGTAAATAACTGGAGTACTTTCATGTCCCACAGTTATTTAAATAAATCTCATCAAAGATCTTCTAATAAATGACTTCTAATAAATGACTACAGTTCACTGGTACTTTGGAGACTTAAAAACATGTTTTTGCCTTGTAACTGAACAGTGGGTGTTATTCTAGGCCTACACTTTGCCTGATTCACTCCTTATGGCATTACCTTTAGCTGACTTCTAGGTCAGACCTGCTGCAATGCTTAACGGATGAGAGTAATCCCTGTCTTTTTAATTGCCTTTATGCCTTGAATCTTGTTCTCATTTTCCAGAGGTTAAAAATACTTTGATAATTTAAGCAGCTAAATAAAGCTTCAGGGTACAGTGGTATGTTCACTCTGTATTCTTAGCTTGCCATCTACAATCACTGAATTAATTCTGACACACCATTGTGAGAATTCTATATCTGATTGCATTAAAATAGCTTCCCACGTCATATTTTAGTAGATAAAATAAATTATTGGCTCTTCTAGCCAAGGCTGGCATCCTTCATAAGATCGTCGTCTCTGGTACAAAGCAAAAGAAGGTTGTTTCAGTGAACGTTAAAGATAGATGGGCAAAATTCAAGTAATAATGCCCACTATACTACTTCTGCTAGTCCTATTGTTGAAAGAAATTTTTTCTTGTATATCCTTTGCTTTACTTCTCAATTTATAACTGATTCTGTTCCTCCTTCGCTACTGTTTTTTATATTGAAACATACCAGAAGTATTGTTACATCTTATTTATAAGCTTTCCTCAGGGTTATACATTGAGCGAGATTGTTCAAATGAATGTTCTTCTAGACTCTGAATTAAAGGGCATCTGACAAGCTCGGTGCATAAGCAGTCAATGTCTAGACATAGTTTTTCAATCCGATGTAAGCTTTTCCTGTACAAGAGCAACTTTCTCTTTCCAACTGCCTGCATTTTAAAATAGAATAACAGTAATTTCATATGTCATCTCTAATCTAGACAGAGGTTTCCGTTGAGGTACATGTCTGCCTGTTTCTTTCCTAAGATAAAGTTTATTGAATAGTAAGAAAAATCAATCTACTCCAAAAAAAAAAGTCACAACAATAGGTTTTGCAATCTTTTGAGAATATACTGTTTTTCAAAATCCATTTTCAATTATGTAAATAATGACCTGAAAACGAAGCATTATTTTCTGTGCTCTGGCAGGGAAGGTTTATAAAATTATTGAAATACTTAGGATTCCTTTCAGTTGCAATTAGAATACCCAGCTCATATGTTTTTGTAGCACCCAGAAAGTTAGTGCTAATGAAAATATTCTGGGTTATTCTTGTATTGTCCATTTACTTGAGGAGAGAATAACCATTTAGTAAAGTACTGAATTAGCAGAACAGGGACACTTAATCTTCAGAGGACATAAAGCACAGACAGTGGTAATGCAGACACAATCACATCAACAATTACATCTTAAGCCTGGCCTGACTGAAACACTTCTGAGTGCCTGGCTTGATTTAGTCTTTATATGATGTTTACATGTGTATATTATGGTGGTTTTCCATCTTCTACTGGAATAAGGCCTTTCACAAGAGGCCTAAACAGCCACCAGTTAATGCAGACTTTCATTCACTACTCAGCAGAGATGAAAAGATGTACATTTAATTAGCATTTCCCAGAACTGTCTAGTTTTGTATTATTAGTGGAACTTCAGAACCGGCTTTATTAAATATTTTCTTCAGAGCTGACCCAATTTGATCCGAGGATTTTTTTTTTTTTTTACAACAAGGGTGAATATAATGAAAAAATTATTCCTATAAAGCCCACTAATTTGTATATTTATAAAAGCTTTAATGTTCCCATTTTTCTTGTTTTCAGGGGAATATGTTGTTATGACTACGCATTTTCATTTGAAGAGAAAGATTGGTTACTTTGTCATCCAGACTTATCTGCCATGCATCATGACAGTGATACTGTCACAGGTGTCCTTCTGGCTTAATAGAGAATCTGTTCCAGCAAGAACTGTATTTGGTAAGCAAGACCTATAAACCTCTTGGCAATCGTAGGCCAGATAGGTTTAAGAAATTTTATGGTAAAACTAGTTATGCGTAACATGATATTGGAGAACAGCATGAGCCTGGACATAGTATACAATACTTAGGATGTTTCATTGTGAAGTTGTAGCAGAAGCTGATTTAAGGTCCAAAGCTTTTAAACTGATTGTAAAAAGAGACCTGAAAATATCTTAAGCAATCTATTACAGTTCCACTTTTCCAAAACAATAAGTATATGAATAAAAAATTTCTGACCGTGGCAATGACATTAATGATGGGGATTGTCAAAAGGGCTTTAATCAAGCGGTGTTGGTCATTTGACATCCTTAGGCCCTTTGAAAATTCTTATCTTAAAAATCTTTTCATCAATCCCTTTTGCAGTCTGCTGCTAAAGGTGTCCTGTTGAAATCAGTGCAATTTGTTGTGCTTACAGTGATAAATAGATGCACTGAATGAAAGAAGTAAGAAGGCAATCTAAAGGACTCTAAGTTTATCCAGTTGGTCCCTAGTGTTTTAACCACTGCTTGCAAGTGCTTATCTTAAAATTAGAAACAAACAACTAGCATATTCTTTGAAGATATTAATCCAAATCAAGTACATAATTAAAAAAAAAAAGTAATAAATCTTCAGTTAAGGAAAATAAAACCTGAGACTTCTGCTATGTGACCTAGTCTTTTTTGTGATGTTCAGATGGGACACCTGAACACCTTTGGCAGAAGGAGGTAGAAGAACACACAGCCGAGTTGGCTTTTACACTAGTTTCTCTGCCTCAGGGCACTGCTGGGGCAGGATTCCGTGGGCCCTCCTGCTTTGCCAAAGAGAATTTATCCATTTACACAGGACATAGCAAAGCCAGGGAGTCACAAGGCCTGATGTTGAGCCACGTAGACTCTGAAACTCTTGGTGAACAAGAGATATTTGTATTGACCTTTTCTGGCACTCTTCACAGCTGTGCTTTAGTTTCCCAATGCCTCTGGAAATCAATCACAACTTGCATAGCCTTAGACCCCATGAATCAAGTAGAGGCTTTCTGTTGATATACAGATGTGTGTTTACAGAAGAGTGGTTTAGACCACAGTATAAATAAATTTGATTTACATAGTATTGTTTAGATTAACATCTAAAATTAGTTCTGAATTTTTATCATCAACTTCACTGAGAAATAACCTGGGACTTTGATGGGCCTCTGTAGTCAAAGCTATTGAAATTGTAACTATTTTTGCTCTTTTTGCACATATAATTTAAAAAGAAATGTCAGATGATCAGTTTAAAATGCTATACTTCACTGCCCCTACATGGAGAACAGAATTTCCTAGTCTCAATGAATAATATATAATACTGCATGATGTTCAAGCTGCTATCTTCGCAGGCTAAAGAACCCACACATATCTGAAAGTTTTCCTTTTAGAAGACAGTTATGTAGTAAATAGCTTTGTGTTTACTCCATCATTATGTATCAAGATAGCTTTTTCATTTCTTAATGGCAGTGAAACAATGTTGCAGAAAATTTTGCATGAATGCATATACATACAGAAGCACAACTTACATCTTTTAGTCCACTTAGTACCACAGATAATAAAAATTATAAATCCTGTCTTGCTACTGTGTAAGAAAAACATAAGCTCACTAGTAATGAGTCAATGACAAGATTAGGTTGTCTCTCAGGGAAGAGAAATTGCTTGCTCATTAGGCACTATTAATTCAAGCTTTTTACACCAGCATGTAAATGAATTGTTTATTATTTGGCCTATTTTAGACCACTGCACATTTTCACTAACACTCAGTGCAGTGAAGATGAACTTGGAAGACACATTCAATACATGACATTGCAGTTGTCAAGGTAACTTGTGGACAAGTGATTTGATGTAAATGTCTAGCCCACACTTGTAGATTTTTTTCTTCAAGTTGCTGCAAGCAGAGTGAGTTCAATAGAGTCCTGCTTGCTTTCTGTGGCCAGTTTAAGGGAAAAGCTTCATCAGCAGTGAGAAGCTCTGATACCAGAAATACAAATTACATTATTATTGTTCTTACATAAATTCTTTGCTATTCTCAGGGCATCAGTTCAAATATATGTAATATAACATAAAGCTTAGTGCATTTGACTATACATTTCAAGGAGCATATACCAAATAAACTGAATGAAAACAACAAGTTCTTTTAGTTTTCTACCTAAATACCTTAGAACTGTTGCAAGAAAGAACTAAAAATGTTGAATTTTTATATCTGTAGGACAATTTGCAGGGCATGAGTAAGGAACAGCAACAATGATTCTCCAGATACCAGGAAGCATAAAGTAGTATCTAGTCCACAACTCAAAATATTATTTCCATTCCAACTTTAAAAATATTGTTCTATTACAGCTATGTCAAAGAATAAAGGTATGAAAGATGTTTTGAAGATCCTGTAACTTCCATAAAACTTGAAATCTGATATCCTCAATTAGCAACTGAACTTAAGTGGGGAAGTTTATAAGAATTAGGGTAAAGACAAGGCTTTCGCATGTATTGTAACAGTTGAAGCACAAAATATAGCCACTGATCTAAACACACTAAAACTGCTTTGCAGGAGTGACAACTGTCCTGACAATGACTACTCTGAGCATCAGTGCAAGGAATTCGCTGCCCAAGGTGGCCTATGCCACTGCTATGGATTGGTTTATAGCGGTGTGCTATGCCTTTGTGTTTTCTGCACTCATCGAATTTGCAACAGTGAATTACTTCACAAAGAGAGGCTATGCATGGGATGGCAAAAGCGTCGTTCCTGAAAAGGTAACACCACTTAATATCTATCCCAACAGGTCATACTGTGTCATGCTTGGTCACCATATGGGGTTCTTTTAGCACGTTAGAAATTCTTATTTTTTAGAATAGTAAATAATTATTCCAAAAGAGTTTCCTCATGTGTTCGTACGCAGCATTTCTACACATAAACAATAATTTCTTAGACACTGAGTACCTAAATACTACTTCTGACATACTGGATGATATTTAATGCTATTAATAATTAAAAATTTTACTAAGATTTTGACTTGTGCAACTGAGCAGAAAGAAGATAAATGTGGTGTTGGTGGTTTTTTTCTTTTAAGGGAAAGCAATTAATTTTCTAGTGTTCAAGCAAGAGACAATGTGGATGCCTCAGTATAAACATAGAAAAAAAAAACAATCTTGTGGCTACTGTATTTGACACTGTCCAAAGTATATTGCTCCCCAACATGAACTTCAGGAGGACTGCTCTGTGATCATGACCAAACAAATCACCACAGGACTTTTTCTTTCCTTTCTTTTGCCTCTTATCTTTTCCCTATTTTTTTTCAAATAGAAATATTATTTTTACTTCCTAGTCTATAGGAGAAATTGATTTGTTTTGGGGGAACCATTGGCAGTTGCATTGGGAGTGTGCGATCCTGATCCATACCTCCCTGAATGCAACAGTGAGACATCAGACTGACTCCCTTTGGTCTGGGATCAGACCCGGTCTGTAAATCACAGGTGCATCAAGAAATTGTTGAGGACATTTAGGGGATGAAAGAGAAAGTTTCCCATTTCCTGTGAGTTATTATGGCAGCTGCTTCTGTGAGGAAGCTCATTTGGTTGGATTTTTTTTTTTGAGAGAGAGATCTAGAAAGAGAGTTTTAACTTGCCTGATTGGTTATTATGAACATTCACAGACTAGAGATTCAGCAGAATAAATATTTGGAGGAGCAGATGTTACTCATTGGTACGTGAACCCGTGTGTTTAATTCAGGAGTGTATGCCTATATATAATTTTTCTTCTTTTTGCTATTTTAGTTGCATAAGTCAGAAAACAAAGAATATTAGGACATTTACAGAATGAAAACTAATACAAAAGTATTGTAGAATAAATGAGTGAAGTAACAAAACCAACTTGCAGTAATGAGCTGCACGACTGCTGGTGAATATTGAGTTTTCAGTTACTGATAGTACTTTCATTGAAAATAATTTGTTTGATTCTTTGTTGTGCTATCTTCATGATATCTATTGTAAAAAAATGGGCTGTATTAATAGAGCAAAATCCTTAAATGTTAAGTATTGCCTTGTTAATATGATCTACCTTGTAACATAGTTACTATAATCAGCCATTTTATTTGTTTGAAAGAAAATTACATTTTGAGAAAAAACCACACCGATATAAACACAATATTCAAACACGATTTAAAACATTGGAAGATTTATGGCTTTGCATTCCTCAACAGGTAAGGGTCTTTATGTGTCATTTGATATAAGTCAGCAAACACATACCGGTACTTGGTAGAGTGCATTATCTGCAGACATAAGGCAAGGCAAGCAAGGCAAATTAATGGTGAACAGAGCATCACAGCTTAATAAAATTTAGAGCTCTAATTAGCTGTCATATTACTTTTTCATAAAGTTGAATTTAACATGAAATATTAAGACCCCTACTGGTGTCAGGACTTTTTGAGGATCAGATTCCTCATGACATTTAAATCTATAGAAAAGGTCTGCTGTGAGACTTCTGTGAAGCAGTTCGTTGCCTGCTGGATTTATTGCTGCTCACCAGAGTATCTGGCTGAGATGGAGACAGGACTGGCTTCGTACTCAGCAAGCGTGTTAGCAGCCTTCCTGCTCAGGAGGAAAAGAACAGACAGACAACTAAAAAAAAATCTTTCTGCCATTGCCTTTCTTCTTTTCTGAGTATTTTTTTCAACCTGTTTGTTCCTCCTATTCAGCAGAAATATTTTAAGACAATTTGAAGATTTTTCTTAGCCTCAAGTCAAGCTCAATATTATTGTCATGAAATAAAGAGCATATACATCAGAGTCATTATGTGAATCCCTTTTCTTACTAAGTAGCAGAAATTTAACATTTCAGCCTTTGTTTCCTTCCTGCATGGTGTTCCAAGCCATGCTTTGACAAGATTCTTCCCACTTGCCCTGATTGCTATGGCAACTTCCCTTCACATTCCCAAGCATCCTGCAGGAGCCTATTTGCTCCCTGAAATGTTCACCTCTTGAACAAGAACTTTTTACCAAAGCCCCCCTGCTGGGTGGTCTATATAGCTACTGATCTAGAGTTGATCTGTCATAAAAAGTACTGTGACTACTTTAAAAAATATTGGCTCCGTGGGACAGCTGCTTCTTGAAAATAGAGAATTATATCTGCTATCTTGTGAAATGACATAATAGATCACATTCTGCTGATATTTTCTCTTTAGCCATATCTTTTTTTTCCCCCTCCTTCTAAGAGGATAAAATGGATAACATTTGCCTATTCTTTTTGTAGCAAATACTGCCTAAAGTTTTCCTAAGGTCTTGGGATTTTTTTGTTATTTTTTTTTTTTCTCATAATTGGAGGAACTTGGAGCAAAGTGATGCTTTTTTTTACACCTCCTTAATGACCCACTGCATCTCTCTTCTATGTTTATCCTTGTGCAGTGGCTGGAGGAAGGGTTTGGACTGTCTGCAACAGGGACAGTTGAATTCCAACTGGTAACCCCAGATGTCAAAATTTATATTTTTTTCCTACAAGTAGATCCCAGAAGTAGAATACGAGAAACATAAGGACCTAGGGGAAAAATCTAGATAATCTTTCTGATTAATAAGTTGTTCTCCACTAAAAGATTTTTGATACATTCTTGCTTTAGCACTATAGGTAGGTGGATGCAAAAATCATACAGTTATTTAAGTCACTGTATGTGGAATGACATTTCAGCCATTATGATCCAGTTGTAACATTCAAACAAGAACATTAAGTTTCTATTCCATAATGCGTATGCTTTCGGTGTAAACTGTTAGTGAATAGAACTAGCAGCTTTGCATTTTATTAAATAATCCACTCTTTTAGTGCATGGTCACATGATATTTTTATTGTGTATTTTTATGTATGAACTGTGCTAGAATGCATCATATAACTTTGTTTTAACATTGGAAAGCTACATTAAGAAATTCAGTGTCTTTTAAAGTTTTTGTCCTGGTCAAGAAACACATTTGATTAAGGGAATATTGAATTATGAGTGGTTTGTCGCTGCTGATTACCGTTAAAGGTAATTTTGTCGATCAGTGAGCCTAGGTATCAGTATAAGCCCTCATTATAGTTTATCCATCATCTAACTGGGTTTAACTAATACAAGTAACACAGATGGATGATTTTGTCTTTGTCTTCACCTAAATATTTTGCATGAGTCATGTACCCAGACACTAACTTCCTTCTTACAGCTTATTACAATTTATAGTATAAATTTGATTAATTGCAAAATTTTATGGTGCTTTTTCATAATCTTATCTGTTAAGAAGATAGTGAGAATAAAACATTTTCTTCTTTCTTCAGCCAAAGAAAGTGAAGGATCCTCTCATTAAGAAAAATAACACATACACAGCTGCAGCTACGAGCTACACCCCTAATATTGCAAGGGACCCTGGGCTGGCAACCATTGCTAAAAGTGCAACGATTGAGCCCAAAGAAGTTAAACCAGAAACAAAACCTGCAGAACCCAAGAAAACTTTTAACAGCGTCAGTAAAATTGATCGACTATCAAGAATAGCCTTCCCATTGCTCTTTGGAATCTTTAACTTAGTCTATTGGGCTACCTATTTAAACCGGGAACCCCAGTTAAAAGCTCCAACTCCACATCAATAACCTCATTTATTCGTATAGTTCTGTTTTGTCTTTTGCTCTGGGAACTGCTTCCCATTTTCACATACGGTAATTCACATTTGCTTCATTGCCTCTGTCTTAAAGAAAAGAAAAGTTTCTTTATTTAACAAAAGGTTAAATATATCTGTATATTTAAAAAACCTGTGTGTGAGGGAAAGAACAATATAAGCTATATACTTTGGAAAAGTGATTCCAGAAATGGGAAAGAAAGAGTTGTAGGGTAATGGGAAAAAAAAAAAAAAAGAAAACCATTTGTAGATAGCTTAATACTGAATGTCCCCAAAAGGTATTGTATATGTATGTGAAAAAGATATTTTTATTCAAAGGATTGTGGGGAGTGGGAAAATTTTCTTTATGATATTCCTGATGCACATACTATACCATACCATTTATTCAGCCACTGTTTATAATCTTTTCAAGGATGTAAAGCTTTCCATTTGCTGAATCCCATAAGATACGTTATTTTCCTAATCCCTTTTCTCTTCTCTATTCCAAACCACCTGACTTAGAGTATTAAATGATCTTTAAAGAAAAAGGAAATCCACTCACTCTAGGTACAGTTTGTCACTGTATGGCACATAAGATCTAATGGTAACAAATGCTTTAATCTGCTGTCTTACTGCAGTCTTGTTCTAAGCATTAAGTTGTCACTAGACTAGATTTAAAACCAGTTGCACAATCAAGTGCAGATCCCAAGTTCCCTCTATCACCTGTGTAATCCAAACAATTCCTGGATGCTTTTACAGATAGCTTTTACTCATCACGATGTTTTAGAGAGTTAAAAAAACCAAACCAACAATTTTTGCAAGCTCTAGATATGTTGAATGTATTCTTTTATAAAACATACATTAAAAAGAAGCTTTAGACTGAGATTTATGGATAGCAGAAAGACAAAATATAGTATTTAAATAATATATGTAAATATGCAGCATGAGATTGTACATTTTTTTACTTTTTTAAAGTTGTGTTCTTAAAACATTGTGTAGGATTCACCTCTTAGCTCTTAATATGTTGTTAAATGCTCAATAAAACATATTTAGAGCCTGACTTTAAAAAAGAAAAAACAAATCAGTGGTACTGGAAAGCCTAAAAAAATAAATATGCAGAAAGCGCTTGGAATTAATTCCATTTGTAAAGTGGTTAAGTGTACAGTAGCTTGCAATTTGACAATGTCATCCAATGTATACTATTAGATTAATGACTGGTCTGCTCAGGTCATGCATAAATACTAAAGTATGGGATTATATTTGGTAGGTAAAAATGGTGAAATATTTAAGACAGAAGTTCATCTGTATATTACTGCTATATTTGCTGATACATAACTGTTACAATAAGTGATGTAATATATGTAGCATTAAATTAAAAAAAAAGTCATACATAAAAGAATGTACAGGAAAATAGATTTTATTGACTAAACTTACTACATTTCATTTTTACTGTAGCAATATATTTGTAGGAACAATATGTAAGGGCTTTAAATACAAGATGTCCATTTTGCAGGTATTGTGCTCCCTTTAAAAAAATTCTAGTCAGTATCATTACTGCTGATTCGTAGAAATAAAATTTCAGATAAAGATTTTTCTAAGAGATGGGAAGAATGGTGGATATTTGCAAGCATCAATTAAAAAACCATAATATACGGTATTGGATGAATTTTTAAAACAATGCTACATGAGCCTCCAGAGAAACAGCTACTGAGAGTCAAATTTCATAGGCAATGTTTTCTAAACTCTTTCAAACAGTTGACATTCTCTATCTACAAAAGGAAATCGTTAATGTTTTATTTAGAGAAGATTTTTTTTAAATAATGCTTCATTGTCTAACATTTAGTCCTGTCTAAACTTGATAAGTTATCTGATTGGAGCTTATGGAAAGGGGATGTTTCATCTTCTGGTATCATGTGTAGATACATGTATAGAAAAAAATAAACTATGGCTCTTTAACTTCTGTGTACTTGTTTATCTTGTTATTTTTGGCGTTAAACTAGTGTGTTCATTTAGGGCATTCTACCTTTCTAGCAATTCATAGCTACCTTTAGGTCTGCATTTTGCACATTAGATGTGAATATTACTTAACTAGTCTGCTTTTTGCTATGCAATGATTGCATTATATCACCTCTTAGTTAGTCTATGCCAATAGTATTATACTGTATAAACTTGATTGCACAGTTTATCAAAGACAAGGTATTCTCTATGTAGCTTTTTTACAATGCTTTGCTAAACCATGTAATAATAGTAAGTCTTCCTTGAAAATAATGATACACTCTTATAGAGGACAGTTTCTGTTTACTCCTGGGATAATTTTAAAAAGATGACATTGAATGTTTATTGCACCTCAGTGCAGTGATGTGGCAATAAAACCTAAATCTAATAGAGGTTGTTTATGGCAGAAGCATGTATTGCTTTTACAGAGTTTAGCAAAAGCTCTTTATTTTATGTCAGACTGTAATTCTATTATAATAATAAAGCTAAAAATGTTCAATAATGGAAGTGAATGTTTTACTTTGGTTTTCTTTAGTTACTGTATTTTATGACACATTGCTTGATAAACTGCTATTCATTCAAAAACTTAGTTTCTGCGGATTTGGTAATGAATGCAGTTTTAATAGATGTAATTTTCTGTACAGCATTTTCCAGGGACAAATGTAACAACAGGAATGTTTCTGAAATCTGATTTGACATTCAAAAAAGATAATTCAGTCTGCACAATATATATATATCCAGTAAAACAATTAATTGAATCAGATGAACAATTGTTAAGGTTTAGTACAACAGCAATGAATATGATATAGAGTAGGAACAGAATAAAATGCATTGTCTCCCAGATAAAATGACAGATGAAACAGAGAGTGAGAGTAAAAATGTGGATATTTATGTTACAGATTTCACTGTTTAAATAAATGCACAGATCTAAGAAAGACTCTTAGAAGAGAACCTCAGGCTGTATAAAATAATATTTCACTTATTTAATGAGTTGTGGGGATAGCATTCAAACAAACATATGTATAGCCTGAAAATTGTAATTCTCAACTCTTCATTCTTTCCCACATAAAAAAATACAGAGAGAGGAAAAGTCATTCCAGTGCATTCAGCCCTCAAATTTTCTTGGAAAAGTTCCTGGAAAACAAGGCTCATGCTCTTATGTAGGGGGAGACAACCAACTGCAGAAGTACAGTTTTAGAGGATCCAAACCAGGAAAGGCTGATAGAAGTGTATATATGTATGTAACAATATTCATCGTGTTCTTGAGCATGAGTCCTACAGAAGGATTCTTCAAAATGGAAGGAAGAGTGTGTTAATATGGAGTCAGATTCTATTAACTTATTATGCTTTCCTCTATTTTGAATGAGGATAATGCAGTCTGAATCCCTGTTCCTTGCCTCCTACTAACTCCACAGAGATGAATCCCTACGGAAACCCACACAGGATTTTCTGGAGGAGTACAGTAAAGAAAGTGGCGAGTGACACTGTTTGAACACCCACCTCCTATGTTCACATGGCAGATGCAGAGCATCCATGGGGATTCTCACATCTCCTTTGTCACTGCTCAGACATTTTTAGGCAGAATTTTACTCGAGTAAAATGAGTGAAAATGTCTAGATGCAACAGGATTTGACTCGGAGAAAAATATATAGCACTATTGAGCTTCACAGAGTGGAAGAACAGCCTCGTCAGATGACAGATTCACAGTCACCAGACAGTCCAGCATGACACCCTGACATGGCATTGCTGTGTTTGCTCTGATATTACATCAGTAGGGGAAACTCCTCCAGTTTTTCTTGGATTACCTCTAGAAGCCACTGCAGGACTTTCTTAATGACCAAGAACTTTTTTTTACACCATCAACTACTTTCTCAATTATATTCTTTCTCTTGGACTGACTATGTGAGACCTGAAAAGAACAAGTTTTTTTTGTCTCTATCTCCTTCTATTTTTCACCAATATGGTAAATAATAAAACATTATGAAACACCCTAATGGCTAGAAAATGGGGCACACATGCTTCAGGGAACAAATAATAAGAGAACTTCTTTCAGCCTGTGCTTTGTGTCTGAATGACTGTCCAAATAAATTAGTGTGACTGGGGAAAGTAAAACTTTTTCTTAGAGGCTGTAAAAATATCAGTCATACTTTGAAAGCTAAAAACTCAAGATCTCCTCAGACTTTCTATAGCAGACCCACAGAAGAAAAAAAAGAAATCCTCCTGCTATGCATAAACATGACATAGCTTAAGTAAAAATGTGTTTGCAGTCTTAGCACATGAATTCTGCAAGTGAAGTGTATTATCAGATTGTCAAGCTGTTACTGTCATGTTACATCTGATTACAAACTGCATCAAATGCAAGAAGAGAGGTAAAAGCCTCGAAACGATAAGTGTCTATAGGTTCATTCACTCTGGCTATAGGCCCACCCAAACAGGCAGGATGACTTTGCAGCTGCTGATAAACTCATTTGATTAAGCTGCTTTGGGGCATTTGAAGATGCACTTGCAGCATGGCTATTCCATGCCTTTCACCCAAAGACGAGAGACATTTCACCTCAAAAACCTGCAGACAGACAGATCAACCCACAAAGGGCACTGCTTTCGTGAATGTGCTGTCAAGGGGGGAAAGATGTATTTGCTGAACTCTTTCTCCAATCAAGGACATTTGAATGCAAACAGATATGATGAATTTTTTTCCAAATGTCCTCATATATGAAGTATTTAATTAATCTCAAGTTGTACAAGCCTAAGGACCTGAACCAGGCCTAAGATGCTAAATTTGTTTTCAAGTGGTTTGCTAATGGCTGCCCAGAAGGCACTATCTTTGCTACATGATAGTTTTACATGTATGCAACATCTGCTTAATACTAGGTGACTAAAGTGCCTCATAGGAAAAAATAATGTAGCTGCTATGAGATTAATGCAAATTTCTTTAAAAGACCCCACATACTTAGAGCTCCTATTCCATTACTGCCCGTAGCAGCAGAACCACACTTCTAAGAAAGTAGTTTGTAAGCTTCTAGGACTGATCTTCATTGTAGTGATATTTACTAATGCAACAAATTTACCGCAAGGCTGTGAAAAATTCCAGAAAAAATTAAACAGAAGAAAAACTTTTATTGTCATCTAAAACCAAAAATAAAACCTAGTGAAGCTACAATAGAAAGACATTTCTCTTAAATTAAATCACTTTTTTATGAAATACCTTACAAAATCAGAAAAGTGTATTTCAGCCAA